CTTGGGTGTGAGAAGAAGCTCAGGGTAGGGGGCTGCAGGATTCAGGGCTGGGGACTTTGGGGGGTGTAGGAGTCATGGTTAGGGCATATGAGGGGTTCAGGGCAAGAAGGTATGAGGGGGGGCTCAGGGTAGAGTATTGGATTGTGGGAAGTTTTTACTTTTTGTTTTCAAACAAGTCGAGGCTGGGAGTGTGGAGGGCTCAGGGCAGGGGGCTGGATGTGTGTAAGGGTGAGTGTGGGAGGGTGGAATGCAAGGACAACATTTTCTGTAGGAGAAGAGGCTGCAGCTTCACATAAAGGGTTCCTGTTGCTTTTTCCTCTTCCTGCGACTAGGGAGGAAGAGAAAGTGCAGAGCTTGCTGCATTCCTCCTCTGCCCCTCCCCTGGGTAGTCTGGAGCAAGTGGAAGGCAGAGTACTCGGAGCTTCATTCTTAGTCACAGCAAGCAGGAAAAGCAACAAGGACCTGGTATGTATGGCTGTAGTATCATCATCCCCCGAAATAGTAGCAGCGGTGTGGGGAAGCACCCCCAGCCAGCCCCTCTAACCTGCCTCGCTATCTGCTCCTGAGCACAGCATCCTGCAGGAAGCCAGAAACCAAGCTGGGATGGGATGAGTGCTCCAGGCAGCCATCTTGTTCCCGGACGGTGGCACCGAGGCACACTGGCTTAATTTCACCTCTACTACAGCTTCATGGTGTGTATACACAGCAAAGTTATTTCCAAAATTATTGACTTATTCTGAAATAACTATGCGAGCATCTACACAGCAACTCTGTTATCTTGAAATAACGGACAGCTTATTCTGACGTCTGTAAACCTCACTCTATGAAGAATAACATCTATTCGGAAACAGCTATTTCAAAATAAGGTGTGTGTAGATGCTCCACTTCTGCTATTTTTAAATAGCCCCTCACCAGGGCCATTCTAAGTTATTCCTCCTGGGCCTCTAAATCAAGATAGAACGTCTACATTAGGGAAGCCTGCCTCGGACTAATTTTGAGTCTTCTCTGCAGTGTAAACATGCTATTCGAAATAAGCTATTTTGGAATAACTATTCCAGAATAGCTTATTCCGAAATAACTGTGCAGTGTACATGTAGCCTCAGAAACCTGCACAAAGTCATTCAATTGTTTTCTCAAGTCAACCCACTTTTCAGCGCATAAAAATAATGAATTTAAAGACTGAAATGGGCAAAATGTGTGTGGGGGGGGCTTTTTCAGAACATCCCTTCTTCCTCGTAAAACGAGGTTTACAGGGATGCTGAAAAAATGCATCAGCTCTTCCAAAAAAAATTTCAGAAAAGCAGACACGTTCCTTAGATGTGGCACGGTTTTTCAAAAAACTCGGCAATCTAGACATACCCTTAGAGTCACACACTGGGATTGAAACCCACTTTTTTTTTGTACTAACTACTTTTCTGTGAACACTAAAGAAGGCAATCCTGTGGGCAGGGGAGTTAATTCTTCATAACTAGCCCCAATAGTCAAAACAGAGGATTACTCTAATATCAGTTTTCCACAATTTTGCATGTCATCAACCTGAAGTGAAAATGACATGAAATTAATCAGAATATAATATGTAATAATTATTTTGAAACCTTATGGAACATGGAGATTCATATCAAAATATCAAAGTTGCAAAATCAATTACGTTCTCTTTACCTTAGGTCAAGATCTCGTTATCTAGGGGAGGTTTTGTAAAGACTTCAGGAGAAAAATTAAATTGTACATTTTAGGGTCTTAGAATATATGCTCAAGGAACCATAATCCAAGTCCCATGTGTATAATTTTAATAACCTGAATAATCCCACTGAATTCAACTTTTAACTAATGCTTATAGAAGGTTACATACATGCTCAGATGCTTTCATGCTCAGATGCTTTCCTAGATTTGGACCAATTTGATTCACATTAGCAGTTTACACTGGAATATTTCAAAGGAAATTTAACTCCCTTAAAATGTCTTTGGAAATCACAGCCTTAAAATCCAACTCTGAATGTTTCAGTTATGATAAAGAATAGACATATGAAGAATCTAGAGCAAAGCATGACTGTTTGTTACTGTTCTGCCTTTGGCCAATTTTTATCCAGCTTTTATTTAATTTCACAAGAATGAAGGGTGGAAGGCTCTTTCTGCTGCAGAGGTGTCAACCATAATTGAAGTCTTTTTTCTCACCCAGGTGCAAGGTCTACTTTTCACTCCTGTCCCCACAAGTCCAAACCAGGGCACAAGAACCAAGGCGATGGATATGTGTCAATGATATCATCCATGAAACCGCCATTAACGTGCATTTTCAACTCTCTCATCCTAACCTTGGCAGGATCATCCTCCAGGATTCATTGTGTAACTTACATCTTTACAACGCAGGACCACTTAGTTCAGTACATTTAAAAAAAATAGCAACACTTTCCTTGACTTCTTTCTTAAAAGCTAAACTGAATATTTTAATAAAACCTGGGAGACTTCCCTAATAGGTTCAATTTTGCTCTAAAATCCTTGACTATTAATTTAACTGTAACCATGAGGATGTGAAGCAGACAGTATTGCCTAGCAATCTGGAATGCATTCAGCTTTTAAACATAATTTAATTTATTTGTGTCACTGCATATTTTTCTATACAAAAGAGTGAGAGAATTATCAAGGTTGAAGCTATTTATTCTGCCTTCAAATTCTTCACAAATGCTAAATAAAAACAAAGGTGAATTACTAAACAAAAAAATTTGATTGCTATTTCAAAACTTGCCAATTTGAAATAAGCAAACATTACTAAGAACTATACCAAAAATGCAGTTTCATATAAAGTTTGAATCTTAAGCCTAATTACTACAATGTTAGCATTCGACTGAATGGATACATTTCTATTTAAATCAATGTCAACATTTCCATTATTTTCTGTAGATGCAGGTCTGGGCCCTTCATCCCATGAAAGTAGATATCCCAGGTATTTTTCAAACAAGATGTTTACATTATTTGGTGGTAACTGCTGTGGGTCATGTTAGTGACCTTCTGCTTCACTCCTGCATTAATTACTGCTTTTTAACAGCACTTCTACCTTTGGGGCCCAATCCTGCCACCCACAATTCAGCTTGATTGGAACACATACTTTTGACTTCAGTTGGACTGCTCACTTGAATAAGACCAGCATACGTCCATATATTCAAAATAGCATCTTGAAGATGTCCTCTTTCATGTGATTATTATCAAAGTTAGTATGAACCAATTTAATCACCTTAAATGTGTGCCCACAGCCCACTCTATAAAGTCTATCTCTGTTGTTTCTAACCCAAGGTTTTTTCTGATACTTTTGCAACAACAATTGAGGTATTTTCTTCTTTTCATGGAGGTTCACATCCAAAAAAAAAAAAAAAAAACCCCCATAGTATTCTTTATGAAATCCACACACACACACACACAACAAAAAACCCACACACAACAAGCTAGTACAGTACAAGGTATTTGTAGGCCAGATATACCACCCAGTGTTCTTCAGCACAGCATATGACTCTCTAGCCTGCACCTTTAGCATTTAGAAGGTTTGGAAAACAAACAAGTATGTGTGTCTATTTACACAAGATATTACATGATCAGTTCCATTTCACACAAGTGCTGCAGAAGCCAGTTTGGAGCGCACAAAAAACTGCATGTGTGTGTATAATTGGCTGCTGTATGTATCTTAGAAATAGACTGTGAGTATATAGTCTGTATTATTTGTGCCCAAAGCTGTCATATGTGAATGGTTTGTGCAGTACCTTCCTTCCCTCACTCCTACTTGCTAAAGGAGAAGGAAAAGCTGTTGCTACTGCTAAATATCCTTCCCAGCCAGTTCAGCTGCTACCTTGACCCATCCCCCATTTATTCCCTGACTCCCCAGATTCTTTCCTATTCAACCACCCACCTCAAGAGCAACAGATCAGCATCTGACAATGACAAAAGGCAGCATCAACTGAGCCTTGCTGCACAAACTAAGAGCTTAAATCGTTTCCTGCTCATCACTCTGTTCCTTCCCTTCCCGTTGGATAAAGTGTTGGGTGGGTGGTTGAGGGGGAAAACAAAGTGTTGTCTAGGTTAAAAAGGCTAAAAGCTGGAGGGACAGGTGTCCTCCTCAGCATTCCTCCCTTCATAGTTATATTATGCTAATTTTAATAAGTATCATTTCTGAGTCTATATAGTTTTCATTCTTACCTGAAATCCATGAAGTTCTGGATTGCTCCTAATTCTTCAAACTAATGTACCCTAACAGTTACAAATACCTTCGAGAAATGAGAAATTGAAAATGTACATATAGGCTATGGGCTCTCAAGCTTTTTCATGGCACAGACCACATTTTAATACAGAGGGTATATCTTAGGGGCTTTCTCTTTCCATTTCATATTGGGAGGGACCACTTCTCATCCTAGGCACACTCTCCTCTAACCATTCACACACCAATGGCATCTACCACGGGGAGAGCTTGAGAGGGTCCTATTACAAAAGTTTGGTCAAGGTAGTAATGCTAGGCAGCTGCAAAATAAAAACGAAGAAGAAGAGCCAATAAGTGGGTCTGGCCCACGAAAGCTCATCATCTAATAAACCATCTTGTTAGTCTTTAAAGTGCTACATTGTCCTGCATTTTGCTTCAGCCAGTATTATGTGACTAGGCATCAGTGCTTCACAGGCCACCACCAAGTGATCTTGCAAACCATCGGCGCGGTACCCATACCACGACGGAGAAAAGGAGCAATAAAAAGCTGCATCTTCCCTGCAGTTTCCTCCAGCTCCACCTTCATATAGCGATGATCCCTGGCCAGGGTCTCGTTACGAACTGGGCAAACAGATGCCTCGCTGGGGGAAAGGGGAAGTGGCTGCAGCGGGATACTTGCTGTGCTCCACACGAGCGAGGCAGCCTCTGCGGGCACCAGCCTTTCCAAGGAGGGACATGCACTTGAGAAGAGAACGCTCCCTTGTGCCCCTAAGCGCCCTACCCCAAGGAGCCCACGCGTGTCCCGGAGGCTGGGGCGCCCTACCTTGATAATGCTGCTCCTGCGGGGGGTCGCCTTGGCAGCTTCCAAGAGACTGGCTTCGGGGTCCGCTGCTGCCCCGGCCGCGGTCCCCAGGCTGCCGGGAAAGCGCTCGGCGGCTCCTGCCATAGCCAGTCCGCTCCTGCGCTCCAGCCTCCTGCCCGGAGCCACCGCAGGGATTTCCAAGGTGACGGGCTCTGGCCCCATCTCCGCTTCCTCCTCGCCCTTGCGAGGAGCCTCGGGAAGGGCGCGCCCCGCCGGCGGCGGCTCCTTGCTGCCCGCGCGTCCTGCCATCGCCCTCCCGACGCGGCGCGGCTCCTGCGCTCGCTGCACCGGCACCAGGGTGGGGAGCGCGGCGCGCTCGCTACTGCGCGGCGGCGGCAACTTTCTGCGGAGGAGTCATTGTCAGCCCGGCGGAGCAGCCGCCGCCGCACGGGGCGAGCCGCCTTGCAGCAGGAGGGGGCTTCCCAGCGGCAGGGAGAGGCCGGGCGTGCGCCCCTCGGGGCGGGCAGAGAGCCAGGGGCGCGGGCCGGGCAGGAGCAGAGGGCTCGGAGCAAGCGAGCGAGAGGAAGCGCCTCTGTTCTGCTCTCTTGTGGGAGAGCCGGGCTTGTTTTGACAGGCCGGCCTGACAGACAGGGAGCCGGCCCACTTAGCGCCGGAGCAGCTTTTCCGAGGGGGCTGGGGGCGCCCAATAGTAAAGGCAGGGGGTGTGGCCACGGGGCTGGCTAGGATGTGGGCTCGGGGGGGAGTCGAACGGGACGGGCCCATCTATTAGCCCTTCCCACCCGCCCCGCGGGAAGTTTTCACGTGTGACCAGGGACGGGGCAAGGTGCGACTGAAGCAGGGGAGGAAGAAGAGGGCGAGTGGGCTCTGCACCCCAGAAGCCCACTGAGCGCAGCCTTGCTTTTAAGGATAGAAATGTAGCCGTGCTAGGCTGGGGGAGCTGAAGCAAAACGCAGGACACTGTCTTTAAAGGGCTACGTTGTCCTGCATTTTGCTTTTAAGGCAGAGCGCGCATTTGTGCTGTACCAGTCACCCCAAGCACCCGAGGGAAGTTTTGGAGTGTAGCTACGTCAAATGAAAGAGGAAAGAGAAGAGAGAGGGGATCAGTTCGTGCCCCTGCGAACCGTATAAGCACATCCTTTCTGGCAACGCGGCACTTAACTTCTATTAGAATCGGCCTTCAACGTGTAAATGGTTAAATATATAACTTCTGCTTCTGGGATGCTTTGAAATGTGGCCATGGGAAGCTGAAGATATGCTGCTATGGGAAAATGCAAAGAAACAGGAGACATGAGAAAAAGTTCCAAGCATGCAGCTAGCAATCTCAGCACCGCACACATCCAGATGAGTTTGTGGGGGGTGTTCTGTTCACTGGGTAGGGGGAGGATCAGGGTAGGTGAAAGGTAGGAAACAAACAGGGAGGCAGTTCATTACTTTAAAACTATCACAAACTGAGTACGAAAAAGGATGCAGATACTACTGGACCGACTTTCCCCCAGGCTAATGTGGTACCCCGCTGTCAGGTTGAAGACTGAAAGGGGAGGTCTGAGTCAGTTGTGTTTCCCCCTGCCACTGTAAACAATCGCATATAGCAGTTCTCCTTTGTACGAGGCAAAGGAAGGGGGATGCTCATACTCTTTCGTGATATTGATGTGCATGTCCCTGTTTTCAAACAATTCACCTGGATCACAGATCGAGGCAATAATGCACATGGTGCAATTCAATCCATGCTGCCCAAGTCATTCATAAGAATCACAGAGTGGGCTCGCACAGAGTGGGCTCCTGGTGCCAATCTAATTCATTTATGCGACTAGTGCTTTGAGTCCAAACCAAGCCAGTGAGAGTTTTTTCACCTTACACTCGGTGGAAGAACTTAAACAAATAGTCCTGCAGCACTTTAGAGACCAACAAAACCATGTAGCTGGAATCATGAGCTTTCCTGGGCACAACCCACTTCTCCAGATGAAGTGGAAGAAATTACTGTGGGAGCCTCGGTCTCTGCCTTGTCCTTCTAGGCTACATTTGAAACTAATCAAGTGCAGCTGCCTTTCCTGGTCTGTCCTGATAAGAGATCATAGCCGGGCACGGGGGCATTTATGACCTAGGTGAAGGAGAGTAGCCGTCCTGCTTTGGTCCAGCCAGTTAGAAAAGGAGCTGCACAGCTGTGATGTGTTTCAGCAACAACCGCTCCCTCTAGCGGCCCATGGGCAAGACATTCTGGCAGTGGACAGATTCTTGCATTAAACTAGCCAACTTAGCCTGGTCTATACAAGGGAGTTATTTCAAAATAACCCACACTCCCCTTATTTCAACAAAGTAAGTGGAGCATCCACACTACCAAGCCTGTTTATTTCAAAATAATGGGCTCCTTACTTTGTAATCGGTAATCCTGCTTTCCTCAGGGAATAACACTTATTTCAAAATTGGTTTTTTTTAAATAGCATGTGGTACTGCTAATTTGAAATTATTGACCTCCACGTCTCTCTAAGATGCACCTGTGGCTGCTCTGGCCACACCTGCTACTTCTCCCCATTTGCCACAGAGCTTAAAACTCCAGGCTGCAGGAGACCAATTCAGCAATCCCTGTACCACACAGCAGCATTGGAGGGAACCATGGGAGACCCCAATAGCCCCTCAGAGCCTCCCACAGCTGTCACCACTCCTGTACCACCCTTGGCTACCACTGGCCAGAGATACAGTATTGCTTGGGCCTGGACTGGTGTGGAGATCCTGGACCTCATTGAGATCTGGGGAGAGGAGACCAACCTTCAGGATCTCCTCACCAGAAAGCAGATTGTCTATGGCTGGATGGCTGTCAGTCTGGCTGACAAAAGCCACACCCAGACCTTTGATCAGGTCCAGATGAAAGTTAAAGAGCTCCAGCAGGCCTCCAATGAGGCCAGGGAGCTGAGTGGATGCTTTAGGCACCTGTGCCTCTACTACCAAGAACAGCAGGATGCCATCCTGGAAGGGGAGCCAATTATCTTCCCCTTCCCATCATCACTGAGTCCAACCAAGACATGCCAGGCATCAGCCTCCAGGAGGGTAGACTTGTGGACAAGGAGCAGAAGGAGAAGGAGGAGACTAGTGAGGTGACCATGCCCACCATCTAGGATCTGTTCCTCAGCCTGGAGCCAGTCCCCTTCTCCCAGGCTGTGTCCCAGGCCTCGGATGATACCAGGGAAGGCATTTTAGTTGAGTTCTAAAACTTTCCCTATACACACATGGGGGCAGGTGGCGGGCAGCGAGGGGCTTCATGCTCCTTGCTTGGCCTATGTAGCTTGGGGGTTGCACAACAGCCTGTGCTTAGGGGGGCCCATGAAGTGTCAGTCCAGCGCACTCAGCTCCATGACACTCACACAGTAACCCATTGGTTCTTCTTACAAGGTTTCTGGAGAGGCCTGCCTTACTCTGGCCTCTGTGGTGGAACACCTTCCCCTGACAAGCCACCATTAAAGAGTGTCTGGGATCATGGAAGCGCACAGCAGGGCCACACATGGCACAGGGTCGTGCCCACACTCAGGTAACATATGCTCCTGGACAAGCACAGACTGATCCTGTGCATGGGAACCTGCCAGAGGGAAGAAAAGGAGGGGAACCCAGTAGCACTCTCTCCAGTAAGTGGCATCTGCCGCTCACACATGCCTCTCACCACATACACACCCCTTCCAGTGGGCAGAGATAGAAGTTCTCTCTCTATGGAACACTGCCACTGCTGGACCTGATGTGTGTAGGATACAGAAGGAAGGTGAGCTGCCCATCTCCTGCCCCTCCCTGCCCCTTGTCCCACAGGTTCCTGGCCTGGCCTTCACCTTCCTGTGCCTACTTGTCATCCCCAGGCTAGGGGTGTAGCGATGCTCTTCTGGGACATCTGTGCCTCTGCAGGAAATTGCACACTGTCTAGGCAACATATGGCCTTGATCAAAGCGCATCACCATCATCCGAATGACATCTTTGGTGTGGGCTCAGAGAGTAGGGCTAAGCTTCGTACACTGTGTCTCCTGAGACGACTGCCCTTTTAATTTTTCTTCACAGCTGGGATAACTGTGACCTTGCTGCGTCCACCACCTCCTACGCCATCTACCCTACTCCATGGGATCCAGAGGAGGAAGAGAACCTGGCAGGACTTAATGAGGGAGCAGATGGCCTGCATGCATCAAAGAGGAGTGCCAGGAACAGTCTGCTGCCCAGGAGCAGTGGAAGGTCACCTGGGACCAGCTGGTATACCTGCATGAGGCCATGTGCTCCTCCCTCACCTCGGTAATGGAGGATATGGCCTCATGAATGGAGTGAGCCACCAGCCACCTCCTCACCCACCCTCTTGGCTTCCCCTCTTAGCCCCCCTAGTGGCCACCAGGGCCCCAGAATATGTAGCAGTGGGGCCTCTCTGGCAGCTGAAGCCTCCCAAGTAACCCGAGGCAGATACCAGTCCCAGCTCCGTCCCTGAGTCCTCCTCCCCCATTCCAGGTTCTTTCGCTAGTCCCTCCCCTATTGTGTATCTCCCCCCCCATAAGCAGTCTTGGTGTGTTTTTTTCCAACAAAGAAGGCTTCTTTATTTGCTCTTCTGGGGAGGAAGAAAGGGAAAGCAAGAGAAGGGTGGAGTAGGGTTGAAAAGGCTCTGTGTGCAGGGGCCCCTCGTGGAGAGGCACGGGGGAGAGTCTCACAGGTGACCTTGTATGAAACTCTCCCTCAAGGCCTTTTTGATAAGCACAGCCCCTTTATGTGCTCTCTGAATGGCACTGGTGTCTGGCTGCTCAAATGCCCTGGCCAGCCATTCAGCCTCTGACCCCCAACCTGGCAGGAAAGTCAGGCTTGTTATTTTGGGCCTTGTTTTGATTTTAGTTATTTCAAAGTTTCCTAGTGTAGACATGCCTTTATTTATCCCAAGTACAAGCCAATCATGGCAGTCATACTCACTGTAGGGTCAAGCTGAGTAATGGGGGAAGGAGTTGATCCAGGTTCAGCCTATGAACTGTAATAAAGAAAAATACAGGGAATAATCCAGAGCAGAAGTTTGATTACCTCTGGTTTATTTCAGCTGTTGACAGAAAGGGCAGAACTTGAAGCCTATCTCTATTCAGCCCAAGGTCCTGTGTAGTTCAAGAACAGCCCTGGGAACTACCAGGTGTGGACTACAGACTGATATGTTGTGAAAACATGGTATGTTGGGAGAACAATCTGGTTCCAGCTAGGATGTACCCTCTGTCCCTGAGCATAGTCTCAGCACTGACTGAACTGGGAACACTTACTCTGCAAACAGGCTCACCGCAAACAGAGATTGCTCCATGGGATGTGGATCAGCCTCTCTCCTCCAGGAGCTCAGACCCACTGTGGACAAAGGCTGCCCAGTGTACATGGCCCAAATTTTGGAAAAGCCTCTTCCGAAAAACAATCAGAAAAAGGTATGCAAATTGCATACCTTTTTTCTGATAAAACCCTGTAGTGCAGACATAGCCTAAGGGGGAATATGATAGAGGTCTATAAAACCATGATTGGTGTGGAGAAGGTGAATAAGGAAAAGTTATTTGCTTATTCCCACAATATAAGAACTAGGGGTCACCAAATAAAATAAGCAGTTGGTTTAAAACAAAAAGGAAGTTTTTCTTCA